CCAAATACCAAACCCATTTAACCCAAACAAACCCAAAAAAAAAAAAGAAGGAAATAAACGAAAAAAAAAAAAACAAAAGGGGATCTGGAACTTTCTTCATCATCATCAACAACCTCCAGCCAGCCACCCCCCTGCAGTGAACCAGCGCCCCCTGCTCAGCGCCCCTAGCTCCAGCGCCCCTAGCTCCTGCACCCCTAGCTCCTGCACCCCTAGCTCCTGCGCCAGCCTTGTTTCCCGAACCAAAGCCCCTAGCCCCTGCGCCCGGCCTTGCTTCCTGCACCAGCCTTGCTCTGCATCAGCTTCCTTGCTCTGCATCAGCTCCCTTGCTCTGCACCAGATCACCTGCACTCTGCACCAGCCATCATCGGCAATAATGCCCCTGCTGCTGCACGCCTACACCCCCCTGCTGCTGCACGCCTGCACCCCTGCATGCCCGTGCCTTGCACTCTGCTACGCCTGCACTTGATCCTGCACTCCTGCTTCTGTTAAAAAGCCGGATCCTTTGCTTGCTTCGCGCCCTCTGCATGCTGCTGCCAATCCTGCACGCCTCTGCAACCCGATCCTATACCTGCTCTGTCACTCTAGAAGCCCTGAAAAAAAAAAAAAAAAAGGAGGGCTCGGTCCTTTGCTTTTCAATCAGCAGAAATCAACAAGTGGGTATAAATAGAGGGTTTTGGTTAGAAGGCTATGGGGGGGGATTTTGCTTGTTTGAATGTAGTGTGGTGTTGACGGAGGAGAACATTTTGTTGGAGGTCGACGGCGATTGAAAGGGAGGCTTATTTTTCTGTGTTTGTTTCCTGCTTAGGTAATTTTCTAAACAGAGGAGTCCTTTTGGGGAGGCAGTGAAGGGAATGATCTGGGCTTGATCTCGTGGGTGGGATTCCCCAGATCAGACTCCGATCTGTTACCCAGAAAGCTCCACCATGCTTGTTTCTTTTGACTTCTGTTCTGTGATTTGCTCTTATGATGTTTAAGTTTGTACGTGTTTACTGAAAATCAATAAAAAAAAAATTGTCCAATTCATTTGTCTGATGAATGTGTCTTTTATTTTTCTGTTGGTGAATATGATTTTTTTTTATGAACCTGTTTTTTTTTTTGTAATAGATGAACCCTAAGTTTCATTTATTCTATTTCTGTTTCTGTCTTGCTTGATCTGTTTTTTTTATGTTGTTGAATTGTTTTGTGTTTTTGGGTCAGGTTAATCCGACCCGACCCGATCTAGTATGTCTATCATAAAAAAAAGTTAAAAAAATGTGAATAAAATATTAATTGATTAGGATAATCACTTTAATTTATGATTAATGAAATTTATTAATTTTAATTAAAGTAAATTAATTATGTTTATTGATCTTAATTTGAGACAATTAAATTTATTTAATTATCTTGAATAGAGATTAATAGATGTGATTAATTAATTTTAATTAATTTTAATTAATGTTGAATTAATCTTTCAATTAAATTGATTATCATAATTAATTAATTTCAACCTTCTTTTTTTTCTTTAATCTTCCTCAAAAGTCGAGGTTATCTCTCTTTTATTTCAATTTCATCCAAAATTTTTACAATTTAGCAATTTAGTCCAAAAGTTTCAAACCTTTTCAAATCGGTGCATTTAATTTTTATTTGTGCTTATTGTGTATACATATCTTTTATTTTGTCCATTTTAGTCCAAAAATTAAAAAATGTTTCAATTTGGTTTATCTTTTTTTCATTATTAAGACTTAAACATAAAGATAATAAATAAGTTGAATTAAAACCCCAATGTTAAAATATGCAACCGTGCTTAAACGGAGGATTGTGAGGTACGCATATGCTCTTTCTCACTCCTAACCGAACCCCCAAACCTCGATCTCTGCGCAGATCTGTTTTAAGTGACTTGTCCCACCTTATAATTTGGATAAGTGATGACTCCTTTTTCTTTATATTTTTCACACTTAATAATGATAAATCTTAATTTTTCATTATTTTGAAATCTTAAGTGGTCGTCAACAGATTGGCGACTCCATTAGGGACATTGAACCCAAGATCTATGGTTTCCATATTCTAGGTTCACGAGGGTCGAGCTAATACTTTAACTTTGGGGATTTTTCAGCTTTCAATTTTCTTTGATTGTTGAGTCTTTGTGGGTCTTTGTCATTTATATGTTTGTTGCGTGTTGCTTGTTGCTTGTTTGCTTATTGTTTTAGTGGTTGCTTTGATTATTTTGCCTTTGAGTAGTTATCTTGCTACATCTTATCATGCATCATACTTTGCTAACATGTTCATGCATCATATCATCTTACATGCTCATCCATCATCGATATAACATGCTTATTCATCATGCATCATGCCTATATGCCTACTTGTTTGTGTGTGAATATACTCACCTTTTACACTTGGCTATGGAGTACTCAGTGAGTCTTTTCCCTCTTGTGCGATTATTTATATCTTGTTGCATACTAAGTGTTGGTTGCTTTGTGTTACTAACCTTTTGCATTTGGCATGGGAGTACGAGGTGAGTCCCTTCCTGCTGTGTAAGTAGGTTTGTTTGTGGATGATATATTTGTTGAGTGCTTTACATGCTTTATTTGATTGCTGTGGGATATATGTTGCTATTTTTGTGGTTGCCATTGTGCAAGCTATTGGAGTGTCATGCCCCTTTGCACACACTCACCCTCACTTTGCATTAGGTTCATGTCGGGGGTGAACCCGACCTCTAGTCTAGAATCATTATGAATCTGGCCTAGAAGAGCAATTCTTCCCGCTTTGAGGAGTAAGATTGGTTCCCGTTAGGTTGTTTTCATTGGTTAATACGACACTTGATGATGTAATATCATTCTGTGTATTAGGTTTTGGAAATATTTCCTGTTGATTCCAAAAGGATAAATGGTTGAAAAGGCATAATGCCTTTTAGGAAAACATGTAGTGACCTTAGAGAGATACCAATCCTAAGACATGTTTCCCTTAGCATCCCACCCGTGAGGTTAGGAATCCCATGTCTAAGACACAAAAGGGGGCATTTTACTTCACTAACCTTGTCTCTACATATGACAGGTTTTCATTTACATTTGAGGTATGATTTGTTATTTATCTTCTGCATTTGGACATCATTCTTGAGGTTAGGAGCATTCCATGCACTTGGTATCTTCATTTTCAACCCCATACATCAT